CTCCCGGGTTACCCATCGGCTTCATTTCTTCAGCAAAAGAGAATTCAGAGAGGATTTCATGGATTTCTCTCTCCTCTCGGTCCAGTAGAATAAATCAATGCAAATTCGATACCCTTGATCCTCCAAATCCTGCTACGCATACTTATACGAGGCTCGCTATATAGCATCCTCATCTCTTCTTATCATTTGACCTCATGCGAAAGAAGAAAGGGGAAAGGCGAAGAGAATCCTCCGTGAAAGAAAGTCGGGCTAAGTTACATGTTCATGTTTTCATTACAAGTTCGCACACAATGTCAATGAATTCGAGTGTCTGAGATCGTCATACTAAGAGAGGAATCTCCACTGAGACAGGTGAACAAACAGACCGACTCGCTGGCGATAACAGATGGGTATTTTTTCATGGAACGTGCCTCTTGCAAAGCATGTTTCCTCGTTTCCCAGAAGTATTCGAGTGGTTTTAATTTTTTTTTTTAGAGAAACGGATTAACTTTGAAATCTTCATCGGATTTGACCCGAGCGAAACGATTCGTTCCTCACGTCTAAAATTGCTCGGGGGAAATAAAAAATTGCGCATCTGTAACTTTGGCCCGCAATCCAGGATAAGAGAGCTTGCGTACTTTCACGGGAAGTAAAATGTAAGAGGTAAAGAGCTTTAGTTGTGAGAATTTATTATTGTAGAGAGGATTTTGCATGGGAATTTTAGGGTTTTCTTTCCACTTTCAATCCGCTAACATTAAAACAGCGCTGTAACCGAAGCTCCTTGATAGGATTTTTCCGCGATCTCAAGATCATTGGCATCTGACGGATCCGTCTCTTTCGCCTGTGAAAATAATTAGTGGATGACATCATTGACAATGTAGGAAACCAGAGATTTTCTTCCTACAGGTATACCCTATTCCGTGAAATATATTGAATGACAAAGACGTGCTTTTTACTTTGTTTTTTTTTTTTTTGGCCTCGCTCAAGATTTCCTGATAGCTAAAATTAGGACTGGGAGACTGAAAAAGTCGATATCGCCAATCCCTCAGAGCAGCATCGGAAACACGACATAAAAATCATTTGCCATTGAGTCTACATTCAGCGGAAGGAACATTTGTGCTTTTACAAGTAATAATGACTTCGAGAGTTTCACTTTTATTCCTTTTCTGAGAAAAAGGTCGGGAACACTGAGTCTCTTAAGGAAATCGCAAGGCAATGCCATCAACGTACGTTGATGTCGACTCCATTTCTCCCCTCTTTTATGCATGCCTCACATTAGCAGCTGGTGGAAGTGTTGTCACGGGGTGATGCCGGCTATCTTCTTCCTCTTCTCCATGGGCTTAATGGCTCTAGGAATGACACTTGAACGAAGCCTTCTCCATTTACATTTTCCGTCATGATTCTCTACGTAGGCATAGTGATTCTGGGAGCGTCATATGCCGATGAAAGCTTCCATGTGTCACTTTCCGACGTCAATCACGTTACTTCTCTTTCTGCAGTCAACCCTATATTCTTACCAGGGCAATCAGAAAGGGGTAATTCTGAAGTTGAAAAACGATATCTCAATACGCTTGCATATCTAGAGAATGTACAAGTATATTGCATATAAATCTGCAGGAAATATTCTCTGTTATATAACTCGGGGAGAGCACAATATAGCTACGATAAGCCTATATTTTAGAATCAAGAACAAAGGTATTTGTTGCCTTTTTTCGATGTTGTCGATTTTTTTGCTACTATCTGTTACCGCTATTATCTTACTACCTGTTGGGTATAAAAAAGGAACTATATGCGAGTTATTATAATCGGTATTCCATACTAGTCCTTATGTTTCTAAAACGACAGGAACGGTTTCAAATTATTTTAAACATTGTTCTAAGACAGTGGAAAATATTGAGCATCGTGACATAGACGCATATTTATGTGTTAAAATTAGTCTGCCTCTACCATTGGAATTGGGTCTGAATAGCTCTGGCGGAAAACATTTCCCGTTTGGTTCGCTTCCCCATCCAACCAAGAAGGTTCGTCAACGCTATTATTCATGAGCCTCGTGGGACGAAGGTTGTGAGAAGATTGATCTTCCCGCTATACTAGCCCTGCCGAGTACCTGTGACAGTCTAATGTGCTCGTATTGCCGACTGCGCATTTTATGAACAGCTTCAACATTAAATCACTCGCAAATGCTGAACGACTCTCCCTACATCTCCCCATTCGGCGCAACAAAATTGTGTCAACTTTAAGTAAGGATTGAATTTTCAACGTAGAAACGTTACCACAACGTTGTGTAAAAGGTTGACTCAATGTTGCTTTGTTGGAATGAAACCCATTTCAGCATTGAAAAATTCACTCATGTGTAACGCTGTATCAGCATTTAATTGCCAACGTTTTGGCATTGCCTCCTCCTTTTCCCGACATCGAAGATGCGCTGATATAAAAATGATCTCATGTCTGTGGAATCTTTTGTTCTGCCTGTGCGAGCTTGAAAGTATGTACTATAGAGAGTATTAAAAAACCGCGGTTAATACCATGTGAAACTGAAACTTCATTTACTGGATCAGAATCATAGATGAGTTCTTGAACGATTCACCTTGTTCGGTCTAACAAAGGAGTTACGTGTCTGGCATTCTGGTGATTTCTGTATGCAGATTAATATTCCCTTTCATATTAATGAGGTATGTCTCTAGGGGGAATTAGCAGCTCAAAGTAAACGCAATGGAGTAAAGTGGAAAGTTTCGGCATGTTTCCTTGAAACCTCAGACCAGAAATGCCTAGCGTCTCTTTCCGCTGGGTCACGGGTCTATCCAATAATTGCAAAGCATTCTCCTTCAAAGTTTTACAAGTGAAAATATAGGATACAGTATACAAAATACAGGGGACCCATTCCAGGGATGTCGGGTGGTAATCGCTAAATCGGCGGCTAGGCGCCATTTCGCGTCGGTTGGTAAAACCTATATTCTTTTGGGTACGTGCTCATGATTCAACATATTCACCATGCTGATATTTGTCGATGAAACGATGCAGAAAACTTTAAGTTAAAATACCATTGAGTAAGCGTAAAAAGCGAAATTGCGCTTGATGGCCTCCAAACGACTTCTCTATCCAATGAGTTTTCTCTATACAGTATACTGAAAAATCAGTTATTACGAATAGTCGGCATTTCATAGCTATTGATGCTTCGTTGAATTGTCAACTTCAACCATAGTTCAGCATGCCAACCTTTTGTCAATGTTGCAGCTAGATTTTTTTTAACGTCATATTTCGTTTTCTGAACACGAGGCCGGGAATAGGTCCTACTTGCCACGGTCTAAAAAAAAATTGTCTTTTGTGTTGAGCGGAAAAAGTACAAACTTGCTACTATTGCTGTGTTCTTGTTACCGTTCCTTCATTGATTCAAGGAGGAAAACGAAATTTTCACCCTGTGAGATCCTGTCTTAATTTTTTATTCGTACCCTGTTGCATGCACCTACCGTGAAGAAGGGTGAGAAGTGTTTTTCAGCTCTTCGACCTATAAGTATTTTACCTATAGCCAGGATATAGGTATATTTAAGGGTAGGCTCTACCCCTAATTTCCAATCTGAAAATTGAAAAGCACTCTCTTGCAAAAATACTCCCTCTCACCCCCATAAACAACATATCAATGAATTACGGACTTAGAGCTTCTTCCATTGAGTGTACTACCTAGTACATCATAAGTATTAATCATCTGCATCTCAAAAACGGCAAGATCGATCGCTAAACCGCGAGATCAACCCAAAGAGATTTCTATCTCCAGCCCGCGCCCAATTTAGGAAGAGCCACCAAGTGGCTCTTCCTAAATTGGGCGCGTTTTCATGCAAATAGAGCAAAACTTTTGCGCCATAGAGTCCCATTATAACGGTCTGGTTCCATTCTCTAAAATCAGGTCGTGAACGTGTCCCAAGCAATTGAGGAATAGGCGTTGTATATGAGACCCGATCCCCTCTTGTTTCCTATTAGCTGGTCACCCAGGATGGTTCTAGCGAGAGCCTTCATGGATGTGAAGAACAGAGGGTGAGCATTCCCCTCGAGAAATCCACATCTAGACGGGGGAGGAAAGGAAGAAGAAACACGAATAAAAAGACAGAGAAGGCCTTTTCCTTCCATGGCGTGGAAATGACGACTTCATTCGAAAATGACTTCTGTAATCAATAACCTGTCCATGTAAATGGCTGAGTATGCTCCGCCGCATAAATCGAGTGTAAACTCTCAGGTGCGTGGGGAGAACAGCCTGTTACTACGATCTCAGAGTATGTTATCTGCACTGTGATGCGACTTTTTTCATGTTATTGTAAGTCATCTTTCAAATTCATTTGTTTGCATCGAAGAGCACAACTCAAGTAGGAGAACGATATGAGAGAATTGGAGTGGTATGCGCCAAATTAGCTACAGTGTTTCCCATTGACTTTCATACCTGCCGCATAATGTTACGCAGGAGCGGTTTATTGTTTCAAACTCCTTTCAAAATGGTCCGCACGCGTTGCATAATGTTTTGTACTCCCTCCTCCTCCCCAGCGAGCAAGTGCCACTCCAAATCTGAAAACCCTTGGAGAGCGGAATGCATGGTTTGTCGATAGTCTTTGGAATGGATGGATATCGAGCGCCCAGTTTCACGGATTATGCTGAAGTACTTCATGGAAAGATCTGCAAGGAAATGGAAAAGGAGTTCCACGCTTATGAATTCTTATTGAGGAAATCCCAAATCATGATATATGCGTCAGAAATACTCCCCTTTAGCCTGGGCGCCATGACGGCCAAGAACGAAACTGAGGAATGGCTTCCTTGGGGGGTTCGTAATTGCGCAACCGTTGTTTCAAGGGTCCCGGAGACATAGAGTGTACACGTATAAACGGAGGGGCCTCCCTATGGCGCGAGGCGCTGCACCCTTCCAGCACTGAGCTCAATGCCTTCCAGGCGCGGCCGCCATCTTACTGAAGTCACACAAAGGAGGTCATAGCAGACATGGGGGAGGGGGAGGGCAAAAGAGGCAACTTGCCCCAAGCTATATGCCTAGGGGCCTCCATGCCGGGACCCAACCTATTCATTCCCACGTGCAAGACCTTCCCAAGATGGCGGCAGAACTGGTAAGTCTCGAGGCAGCGAAGGCCTCTCCAGAGACATACACTCTATATACACTCTATGCCCGTAGATGGTTCCCATCAGAGTTGCCAGGTCAGGTTGCCATTCTGAGCAGCACTGGAGTGGAGGAGAGCAGGGGGTAGGAAACATTATGCAACGCGTGCAATTCTTTTTGAGGGAGGTGCGGAGTACTTTGCCGCTCGTGCCCAGCATTCTGCAAGATGTGTGAAACTCACTGAGAAACACTGCAAATATTTATTTTTTTTGGACGATGACGTAATGTTTTGTAACTCTATGACCACGCCGATGTCCCGAGGCGATCGAATGCCGAACGCGGAAAGTGAAGGGAGGTGTAAAAAAGGGGGAAGTTCGTTCCCCTCGATCAGATAAAAGACCCGATGGAGGTATATGGGATTTTAAGAAATGCTTTCCGTCAGAGTGAGCCCGAGGAAAAAAAGGGGCGGGGAGACGCTATACGACAACTATGAAATACCTTCGCCCTAGCTCATTTTCAGGAAGGGTAGGAAAGGGAAAATTTTAATTAAGGGAACATTTTTAATAAAGGAGAGTTGAAGTGTCCCGTATTGACACCATTAAGAATGCTGTTTACAAGTGCTATCTCTTTTTTTTTTTAAGTACTCCAAGTCTTCTGAGAGGCTGTGTATGCTTTTCGTATTTGCCACGGCAAGTTGCCTTATGGTAATTGTGATCGGAAGGAAGACCCATAGCTATCGAATAGATTAAGTTAATCACATGTACTGGATAAAGAGACAGAAGAGTGGGCATTTCAGGCTTCTCAAGATGGGGCTCATGGGAGCCTTCCCAAAGCCCATAAAAGCTTGCCTTTGTGCAGTCTCCTTTCGTGCTGTGAGTACAGGATGAGCCTTACGTGACAGCACTCGTATTGCAACATGCGTGGAAGTAACCATAATTAGGAAGAGTATTTCATCAAGAAACTAGAATATGTTCGTTAGCACACATGCTATCGCTTGGGTATGAGGACGATTTCATCAAAGTTTCCGCAGCGTTTCCACGCTGTCTCTTCCGATGCAGAAATGACTAATTTAGCCGTGGTGAAGCATTATAGCTGCTGAACATGCACAAAACTCCTAGATTGGAGAGAAGAGAATTAGACTATAAGACGCGTAGCTCCTACAGTATAAAGGCATAAGTATAAAAAATCATGCAAAAAGTTAAAGTACTTTGATTATTGCCGAAGATCATTGGGAACACCCTATGCAGCACAAAGGCCATGTATCATGTACCCTTTGGTTTGTTTCTTCTTTTGATCACAGCAACCGATGTACTTCAAACGCAGCTTTATCATTGGTTTTTGTTCTTTTACCTGCAATGCAGTCCCTCAAGTGCTGATGGTGGCGGGGAATGAGATGGTGGTGGAAAGTGGAGCTCGGGTGGATATCCGGTGTCAAATCAGAGGAACGACCCAGGTACCAAAAGATGTGGGTTGGTATCGCAACGGGCAGGAGTTGGTCGGGATCATCTACACGTCGAAGGCAAGAAAAAACGAGAACTCTACAGACCCGGGGGAGACATACTTCAGCACGTATCTCATCCCCAATGCGAGGATGGGAGACTCTGGGAATTACACCTGCCGCCCTCAGGATCTTCCTGAAGCTTCCATACAACTTCATGTCACCAGGGGTGGGTTTCTTTACCCATTGCCCCTTGACGTGGTCACGTTATCATCATTTTGTCCTGAAAGGGAAATCGGATCTGTTAAGATCCGAGTGAATCCAGGGTCCACAATTAAATCCCATTTACTGGTATATTGCAAGTCCGGGACTTGTGCATACTTCCTCTGATCAAGGTCACGATTCTATGTGATGTATGTCGTGGGTTGGTCTGAACTCACGTCGATGGGCGAATGTGTATTACTCAGCCAAAGATATTGCTGTCTTTGCCGGTATCGTCTTGGTCCAATCATTGTCATCAGGACATGGGAAATATATTCGCTAAATCCAAAAATAGTCTTTAAAAGAGGCGAGTCACAACTCCAGCTTCCCTCACTTTTTGCCCATTTTCCTCCCTTTTTTACAACGGAAGGGCAAAAAAAAGGAGAGAGAAAATTGAAGTAGAAAGAAAGTAAAAAGAGAGGAAAATTGTAGTTAGCGCCCGCTTGTTTTAAAGAGTAAACGACACTTACGGAAGGAGTTGAGGAGGGCGAAGGGGGAAGGCGGGATTAATTTCTTGACCAGCGGGCTTTCTGTGTACTGTGTAACAATAAAAGGGAATGATAAGCACATTCGTTCTAGCTTCAATGTATGTCACAAGAACGTTGAGTTTTACATGGGTTGAGCTCTAAGTCTCAATATCCACTGACTAGTGACTAACCTTTACGGTTGAAGTAGCGCATAACATAGAATTAACATTGATTGGATGCTGAGTCAGCATCTGGATGCTGATCCGGAAGAAGTGGCTTCAATGACGATTTAATATTGATTTTCGTGCTGCCTGTGAAAGCTTCAGTGACAATGGTTTTCCAATACTGGATTATAGTTATATTTTCGCGACCTGTTGAGTTTATTGCACGCCTGGTAATATTTTGCTGACAAGTCTTGTAAGTAAGACATCGGGAGCAAAAGTTTCCCCGCGTAAAGTAGCGAGCAAATAGCTTGCAACAACTGCAGAATTTCTCTGAGGCATTGTGTGGCATTTGCCGAATCTCTGGTCCTTCAAAAGAGGCATTTCCATCCGTATTGACATTCCCACTCAAGGTGAAGTGGTCATTTAAGATGGTCCTACTTCTCTAGAGACAGGAATAAACAAGGTTTTCATAAGAGAATAGTGATGGCGGATGAATCGCAATTTTTGCGAGTCATCCCCAGAGAGTGCTATAACTGCTCGAGGACAGGACGTATTGTAAGAAAAATCAGAACTGCGCAAGTGATTATAGGAGTCATTGGTAAGGTGCTAAGCATCCCCTCCTCCCCCCCGTGCGCCGAGCTCGAAAATTCCGGAAGAAAAATTAGATTTAGTACCGTTTTAAAATCAGGAATGCCGTGATAATTTTAAATAGGTTACCGCACCAATTTCAGAGTTATTTTTGTTTTAAAATTTAATTATTGCCCAGTTTTGAACTGCACAAATTCCAATTCAGAAGTGCAAGAAAGTATTTCAAAACTGCACATATCCGTTACAATTGCACATTTAAATATGCCTTGCTCGAGGAAGATCCTGGATAATTTCGTGGAGATAAGAGAAAATGTGCCTTCCTCCACGTGCAGGTGATTTTTCGCCAAATACTTATTAGGCAATCGTATTTCCATCTTTAACGCATCTTTAGGGCCTATGGAGTACGCGGTACCATGATATAGGCTACCACGTGGCGCCATGGTGTAGAAGCTTCAAGCAGATTCCCAAAATTAGAAGAGAATGGGAATGGTACTGGATGCCTCTCGCACTTTGTAAGCACCAAGGTGGACGAATAATATCGAGAATTAGGTTGCCACTTACTCTAGCTTGGGTGTTAACAATATACAAGTCACAAGGATTAACTGTGGAGAGAGAAGAGATCCATATTGGCGTCAAAGAGCATTAGGTTGGTCAGTCGTTTCTTGCCCTCTCGAGAACAAGAACTATGGAATCATGGCACCAATCACATATGAGCGGTTAATCTCTGCAGGAATTCGAGCAATTGAATCAGAGAAGGACTAAAAACACCAGGATCGACAGGTTGTCAATATACTAATTTAGTGGCTTCGTTTCCAGGCGATATCGCTGTCCTACTTCAGATTTACAAGAAAGCGAAAACTATTTATTTAAAATATGTACAGGTTTTCGACAAAAACTCTCGCCATCACAATTCACTTTCGAGGGTCTAAAATGTTCTCTAGGTCTAGAATCCAAGGGAATAGAATGTTCAAGCATCAGTCCATGGACCAAACATAGAGCATGGGCCGTGGGAGTAGTTCTCGTGGCAAATTCTAGAGTTGGGAACTCTCAGGGAATTTTTTGGATTTTTATGGGTGTGTCTGTATGAGTAAAATTTAATACGTCATTTGAAATCTAATTTATTTCACTCCGGTTTGCCCAGACTTTGTCTGCATCTAGTTTTAAGATTAGAGTAAAATCGTTTGGCAATACAATGAATTAAATGAATGTATTCGTAAAAATAAGTCTACTTTTTGCGAAATGATGGTGTATTCTGGGTCTCGAAAGAGGTTAAAATTTGTGAGTTCTAGGGTTAAAGTTATTCACGGAAGGGGCAAAGATTGCATCCTTATCTAACGCGTTTCATTCGGTCACTAGATGACAGGTAAAAAACTCATTCCGCAACTGCATTCTCAAGCTTAGCGCATGCTTTCAATCAACCCGAAGCAGATTCCGAGATATTCTGGAATTAAACATTTTATATGGGCGTCATAATTTTCGGTCTTTCCAAATGGGGAATTGCCTCCATCAGTTTAAATTTACTTAAATCTGATTTTTTTATTTCACGATAACCAGTGATGCCGTACCAATATTGCGTAGAAACAAACCTCTGGTGCAGTTCCGAAAGAGACATCTGGCTCGCTCAAGATATTTACAGGTATAGGACCAGTGGTTTGCTAAGGACTGACCCAATGGAGTTCCGCTTTAAATCCCATTGTTGGGGATGATTGAACGAAAAGAAGGCAAAGCCAGCGAGATTATATGCAAGTCTTCCCCAATAATGACTCAATCTCGATTGGCAAGCCAATACATGTAACGCTATGTAACCCCATTTCCCATAGAAGAGGGGTGGCGCTTATTTCTTTTGAAACACCCTGTACGTAGCCTTTTTTTGCCACAAACTGGACCCTTGAGTATGTGCAAGAACTGAACGGCTCTCACCAGATCATTACGGACTCGCAGGTACATGGTGACTTCATGAAAATTCACTAACATGAAAAAACATAAAATAAATACAATGAAACTCCACTTTTGTTCTTAAATGCTACTTATAGTTGAAGTGAACTTACCTAGAAGACTAATTATCGCCTGGTTCCTTCTTGTAACAAACCATACAAAGTTGTTATTTTGCCGTCTCAGACGTATTACAAATTACGAGAAGAATAAATCTTCTGAAGTCATCAGGCATGCAGAAATTCTCATTCGATATGTTTTTTTCTTTAATGGATGCTTCCGAAGACAGACCATGTAAAAAAAAGGACCCTTTTTTTCCAGACCACGATTACAAAGCAGGAATCTTGTCGACCGGAGAGGAGGAGTAGGCCCGTTTTAAGTTGACTAATGGGCAGTTAGGGGAGATAATGGGGAATGCTGGATACAAAGTACCTGGCATCAGACAGATGGAAGAAGTTGATCTCTCCTTAATCTTTTCCCTTGATATTTTTTGTGCCTCATGAAAGCATCATACGTCACGGGGATTGACATCCTAATGGGAATCCCTCGTCACCACCTAGGAATCAGCTCCTGCTCATCCCTCTCTTGCCTTCTATGCCTTCTATTGCCGGAGCGGCAATCGAAGCAGAGAGACTCATCAGGGCAGAGCCAAGAGGGACTTCTCTGATTGAATATTTCTCATCATTGTATACTATTCTTTCCTGGAATCCTACGCATCTTACTAGGTCACTGCATCATCTTTCCCCCCAAAAATTGGTGTTCGAAGTTCAAGGTTTTGTCGGAACACGGAGAGGTATTTCTGCCCATATTGACGTCACCAGTCTCGGTCTCACTCACATCCTCACCCCGTCCCCACTTCTTAATGCTTACGCCGATGTTGAGATTTATGAGAAAAATTTAACAATGTGCATAAACCTCGTGCGTTCTTATTCATAGCTAATCGTCTGGAAAATGAAATTAAGATGATGTAATAATATATATTATATTTGATAAAGAAAGCTGACTTTTAAGTTGTCAATGGCTGTTAGATTGACGCTGCCCCTGTTCTAATTGGTGAGAAAGTCGGGGAAAGCTTCTGCAATTTGCCGTTTAGAAAAATTATGAAAAAATTTCTTCTGTGTATATGAAACTTTCAAAATTCAATCACTTACCGTTATTGAGTATTGTGCATCCCCAATTGTTTAAGAAGAGGGCCGATTGCAGAATGAAGAGCGCAGAACTCAAAATAAGGAATATTGACTGGAACTAGAAATGGAAGATTATCAGATATTTCTTCTCATGATACTAGGAAGATCTTAACTTCACAAGACAAGGCCTTCGGCAAAATTAGCAAAACTATATATTGGGCAAGGAATCTGGGGCCTTCAGCTTGTGACTCGACTCGTACAGAACTCTGACAGCTCCAAAATCCCCAAACTATTATCTGATATAACTGGAATCTGCAGTTTGGTTCCAGACGTAAGTTGATTACCCAAGCGAATACGGGAGAAAAGACGAAGATGAAACAACTCCTCGCAACGTTTGAGAAAGAACCGCGATGAAACGATGCACACTCGGCCTCACCCATAGAATCCAAATTTCCTTCCTGCTGGCAGCCCTTCATGCTATCCCTAAAATAGGAACTTGGTCCCGAAACCCTTTCTTCGAAAATATAGAAAGGTGAATGAAAGTGTGTCGTAGTTATTTTGACTGTCATGAAACGCCAAGCCTCGAGGGACTAATGGGAATAAGGTCTTTCTCAAAAATGGGGGTTAAAAGCACCCTTCATTAAGGAGGCACATCAATGGGCGCGGTAGTGCACATTACCTTTCTTCAACCCCTTCCGGCGACAAAATTCAACAGTCGCGTATTCCTCTCGGAGAGAATCAACAGGAACGAAATTTGGCATACTTCTTCCTGTCTCAGCACAGAATCGCCCCAGCAAATTTGAAGCTGCTTCTCCCCGGGATTGTGGAGATCGCTGAATCTAATTTTTCGGAGATGTGAATTTCGTTCGGGTATGCATATTATTTTTTTCTCCCCCCCTCTCCCCCCCCCTGGGTAGCCACTCTTGGGAAGTTTTCGGAGGAAAGAGATTTACCCAATGAAAGATATAGGTGACGAAAAGTGCCCTGTTTATTGCTTCCAGTGTTCCATTTCGCCATAAAAATTGAAATAAAATGCCGTTAATTTAGGCTTAGCGCCACGGCTCCGGTCCCGTCCTCTTTAGTTATGCCAGATTCATGACTTCTTCGGCCTTAGTATCGTTGTCTGAATCTTCTCTTTTTAATGTAGGAGACATTGTTGTGCTGAATTCATGTGATGAGCTGAGATTGAAACGGTGGGTTGCAGTGGCCGATCGATTTGGTGTAATACGAAGATATCTCATCTGGACATCCCAAAATTAACATGATGGCGGCCAGCTTTTATGTCATGCTTTCTAAAGGCACTTTCTACTCGGAACGAGTCGAGACAGTTTGAGGAACTCTGGATAGGCCTAATGTTCCCCGACCGCTCTGAAATGGTTCATGGAACTAGAAAAAGACCTACATTCGGTCTAACGTTACACGTTCTCTGTGAAGCAGGCCATGAGAGACTGAACAGGCCTGCGATTGGCCTAACGTTACACGTCCTCAACGAGGTGTCTCGAAGACGAGGGATTAATCCTTAGAGGCCTAATTGGTCCGTAGGTCGAGGATTTAGTTTCTTTTGAACGGAAAAAGGCCTATGCCTGACCCGAAGACAGTCCGTCGGTTAGGCCTAAGCATAACGTTAGTGAGTTCGGTAGAGAAGGAAGGAAGGTGGGGGGGGAGGTGAGGGTGAGGGTGAGATTGAGGTTGAGGCTGAAGAAAGGTAAAACCTTTGAAAAATGGTTTTCACATAACTACATACAGTATTATTAAACTCCCATGGATACATGAAGGCAATCCATCAATTAGTCCAAGTGAAGCTCTGATTCTATCGAGAAATATTCGAAGTGGAAACCAGAAGTCTTTTATAAATAAAGGTAGTGAAGGTTCCTTCACTAACCCTCATGTCTCAGGGAGAGAATTTATTTATCAGAAGACGAAAGTAATTCCTTTCTCAAACTGAACGATCGATTTCGGCTATGAACGAAAAAAAAATCAGACAAAAAAGCAATTACAATTAAAGCAATTAAATTAAGCAAAAATTAATAATTAAATTAAATTATTAAATTAAATTAAACAACAAAATCAACGATCAGAGAAAAGCTACTTTACGTACTCTACTCACTCAGAGGTATTCTGGAGATTTTTATTATTATTCGGACAATATGGCTATTTGAGAATATAGAAAACATCATTTCCGTTGTCATTGCGGAATTATCGTTTCCGCTAAAGTGGCAACATCATTGCCGAGGCTTTATTCGAAATTTTCTGAAATTACTAATTTTTTATTTATAAAGAAACGGTTCATCCGGCAATCTCGAGGCTCTCTTCAATGTTCAACATTTTAGGCCCTGACGTCATTTAGATGTTCCTCAACATAAATAAATTAAAAAACTTCCCCCTTCCCCCTATGAAACTTCATAAGTAAAAATTGTGTCGATGAAGCCGCTCAATGACGTCAGGGTCAAACACTTTCGGAATGTCAATAGGCCTATTGGTCATTTTCGTTATCTTTTAATATGAACGCTACATTTCCTTTTTTCACGAAAATGAGTAATTGTACCTCATTTTCCTAATGTGCTCGGAATTTTTTTATTATAGGGAAAACGCCGGCGGCCATGCAACACAAAGAGAACGGTGCTATCCCAACTGCCCATTCTTGGAGGACATCCCTTATTCAAGCAAGCATATTCTCGTGGACATGGCTAAGATTTTGGAGGACCTTCCACGTTGATGTGACGTGATGGGAAGATTATTTCCCATCATGATGATCATTGTGATTACGGTTTCCCTTGCTACAGGGATTCCACAGAATACTGAGACATTTAAGGCACCGCGGTTGCCGTCGTTGATGGATTTTATCTGACTATGAGACCAAAAATTCCTGGTGAATAAATTTCCTCGTGACTTTGTCAGTGAAAAGAGCTTATTCACGATCCAGTTTGACTTGCAAAGTTCATCACTGTTGACCTGATTTTATAATTTTAGCTGAATCTTCTTTTTTCGTAAATAATCTTTTATCCTCTCTTTTCTCCCGTTGCCGAAAGTTCATTTTAAAAAAGCTTAATACCTGCAGAATTAAATGAGATTTTATGCGCATGAGGAGGCTTGCATGAGCTTCGGTCACTCCGCGAGCGCTTCTGCCAGCGTTCTGGCCCAGGCTCCAGGCTTTTGGTCCATGTTCGGTTTCTCAATGCTGTATTAACCAAGTAACAACCACGTGAATAGTTTTTTGCTTGCGCACACAACGGCGAACACGATTAGGACCCTTCAGAACCTTTTTACAGTTCATTGGCCAGTTGGTAATGGTGTAGTGGAAAACACCAGTATATTTTAAATCTGAGTTTAATTTAGCTCAAATTTAGCAAAAAGTGAGGGTTTATTATGATTATTATTCAATAGTACCTGGCGGCGCTTAAAGAACGCGCCGAGATATTTTGCGTTCATTTCTCAACATTCAGATGAGGCAGAGATCTACGAGGTATGTGGTACAAATTATAACAAGTATACAACTATCTTCTCCCTTGGCCCCCTTCAAATGTATGAGTTTCTATCAACCAAAGTACACACAGCACTGTTTGACTAAAGCATTTCGAAATGTTTCATATCACCTCCTCATCTTATCCTAAAATATGAGCATTGGATCCTCCTTCGGCATTACATACGGCACATTATCTCCCTTTCCATCAAGTGATGCACTTGTAGATCTCCTTCACGGTGATCTCATTCCAAGCCTGTTGAATGCTGGCTCTCTGTTCAACAATGGAGTACTCCATCTGGATTACTCAATTTACAAGCTAAACATTAGTTCCAAGAAAGACATCACACCGCGCTTGTGTGTAGCCACTCCTTTCGAACTGTGCGTGATATGAAAAATTTCGAGTTGTCTTAGTCGAACAGCTGCTGTGGGTATACTCTGGTAGATAGAAATTTTTTGTTTTTATAAAGCCCAGAAAAAAGTAGATGTATACGTTTTATGATTTGCCCGCCTCTGCCTCATCTTGGACATGGGAAATGAAAGCGAAATTCTCGGCATGTTTTTTAAGCGCCACCTGGTATTTTACGGAATCTCTTTGCATTTGCCCATTTTCAAAAACGAGTTGCAAACAGCGTGAAAACGCAGATAAAGGCTTTCCAGAGCTCAAATATGAAGCACTTTATATTTCCAGACTGAATCTTTGGAAGAAGGAACTACAACCTACATTTCACATCAAAAAGTTTAAAGATAAAATATTGTGACTGCTGGGGATAATCGGTCTATTCTTGTCACCACACGAGCGTTGGAAATTTTAAATTGTATCTCACAAATAAAACACGTTTTCCAGGAAAACTATGCGCATATCCGAGCATCAATCGCTTTCTCTACTAATAATACATGCGCCTATCTGGGTTGCACGCTCCTACGAGGTTGCAGAAAAAACATCAATTTGCATAAAAATACACTCCCTATTCATATCATAAGGAAATTCTCGAAGCTACGCATTCAAGCACGAGCAATACCACACGAAGTTAAGGCTGAAACCTTGAGATTCAGATAGAGCAGCCTTCCTTAAAATGGTTTCCGAAAATGGGGAATCACCAAAAAAATTAAGTATGAAAATCGAAAGGGGGAACATAATGAATTCCAATGGATGAGTTTTTTCCATTCTGTAATTATTGCATCTGAAATTAAGGCTAAAAAATTATGGCTTTCTAAAAACATAGTTATCATTTTTGTGTGCGAAAAGAGTTTCAGTTAAGCCATTCTTGGGATCTTGGAGAGACCTTCGACTGGTTCGCAGGTCACTCTGAATGATATTGTATCAACTATAGTGGGTAAGAGGTGAGTCGATTTTTTAATTTGGGTACACATCAATATTTGCCTCTTTGGGTGAGGAAACCGAATGATTTATGATGGTCACGATAAATTCCTAATGATGATGTGTCCGGTCCATGCTCCTTCAATTCGAGTACTTCTGGATGTCAAATGAGTCTTTACACAAGGAAAGCACCACTCCAAAGCACATTCCTGTCACATCACTACCAGATCAGAAGCTACTTTAAAATGTGCTAGGAAGACAGAGTTGAAGAAACTATGTTGCTTCTTGCCACACATGTCTTATGTCATTCAGAGAAACTGAACAGTGGAATCTGAAAGGCTAACAGGATATTGTTAATGGCAAAAAGGTAATCTTGCACTGGTAGATTTATGAGTACAGGAAGATCTCGTTCCATTTCTATTCAATATTATTTACGCCTATGCTAAATACCCCGGGTGCAGAGAAAAAAGCACGTCGCGGTTGAAATGTTTTTATATAAAAATCGTTCTAAGCTACAACTGTATATGTTACTTTAGAGACAACATGTATCTGCATGTTGTCTCTAAAGTAAATTTTTCTTCCAGAATTTTTCCTACGCTGGTTTAATCACACAAGCACTTTGGAGTTCGGGAGTCCAAGGAGACTCACTGAAGATGCGCGATGGGACATCTTTCCGGATGAACAGCATTCAGCCGCGTTTTCATTGAAGAACCGCTCTTTGGACGAAATTGGGTGCTCTTTCGTCCAGAAAACATGTTTCAATGCCGCTCCGTCCCCGTAGACAACATCATGACTATAATTGACATGATAGACAAGTTGATACAAAAGCGGTCAAGCAGGGGACAGAGGCGTTTTTCGTAGAGAACCGATTCACGGAAAGCTCCGTTTTACAGACAACTTGCTTCGTCGAATAGCCAGATTTAGCCAGGAGGGTCGTTACGTAGAAAATCGTATTGCTAGACGGAACCTGTCAACACCGACTGAGCTGAAGGCATCTCAGTCTTGATGGTTTCTAGACATCGCTTTCAGAAGCATGCACAGCGGTGGTGCCATTTGGGATGTCGATACAGGAATTAATGACTCAGAAACATGGCTAGCATCAGTTAAAGGTGAGAGAGTATGGCCCAAATGCACAAACCTCATTTAGGCGAGATAAAGGCCCCTAAGCCAAAGAGCTCTTTTCCCCCCATAGGATTCCATGTTTTCTTTAAGGACCGTTAAATAAAGGAGGTTTAAGCATTCGGGTCTAAACATTCGATGCAAACAAGAGAGGAAAGAACGGAAGGGTTTATTGACGTTGCATTCATGAGAGGTGCTCTACGACCGCTACTACGGATGGAATAGATTTCGTGAAACGGCCACATGAATTTCACGATCATGCTTCCAACGAAGGAGAAATAGTGAGAAGAATCATCAGCAGTAAACTGAAGGTAGCCGCTATGAGAGGAGCCAAACCAGTGGCTGCCATCGCTGAAACGGTACGCAAGGTTATATGTAAGGAAACATCTTGAGTCAGACTAGGTCAAAACTCCAGTGTGCAATGTTCTTGAATCAGCCCATAGGATGTGGATAAACAAATGCTAGTAGTTCTCTATAAAATTATGATTTTCTATATTGCTGCTTCGCATCACATTCATGTTCCTAGTGTTGTTGCTCAGACGTCTATAATGAAAAGAGCAAAGAGGAGACTTAATGAAGTGCCCCTTCCTGGAAACTCTGATGAGTTGAAACTTCCTCCCATTGAAAGAAAGACTTCAGATGGAGAAGATAGGATGTTCTGTGAAACACGAGGTCGTTATGCAATGCTCAACTTTGCCACAGAAGGGAACTTGCGACATCTAATCCAAGCAGAACGTTAGCATGGTGATGAAACGTTTCTCATTGTCCGCGTTTGCAGGAAAGGAGATTTGTGCAAGCGAATATCATTCACACTGTCAAAGTATGGGTGATGGTACCACTTGCGTACATGCTTCTCAATGTGAAGACGGAGGAAGCACGATATATGTCAAGGCCATGGAAGTCATCCTAAGTAAGATTGATGCTGTGGATGTGCCTATTATTTTACGGTACTTCTCATCTGACCTAGAGAAAGGAGTTTTATAAACATGCCTCTTCCACTTGAGACTATTCGTGAGGTGGAAGGTCCAAGAACACTGACTGGCCCGAGACAATATGAAAGACAAAGGCAACCAGCATCAGCCTAAACGCGTGATGCTGGTTGCCTTGGCGTTTGTCCCTCAAAATGAAGGAACAGATGCTATCAAATAAATACAACCACTGTTGCGCCCTGAATTAGCGCCACTAATGGCGTCCTTTCGAGAGCATTACAGAGATGGCAGGCGTGATCGAGGCTGACCGAACACGGCCTGTCTCCCTCCAATCATGTTGAACGCTCGAAATCGGACATCGCATGGAGACCCTGAACTACAAATCATATGAAGGGTTGCCTCCGACGATTCGGCAGAATTGTTGGAAGGAAGCATCAGCAATTTGCTCATTCTTCTTTAAGAGCAGGAGAAAGGGTCTCACGCAAAAGTGTTGGAGAGAGACCTATAGACTTCTATAAAGTTTTCAATGTAGTTTTGAAGAATTCAATAAACCACTCATTGCATCTGGATAGGACTCTATACAGATTGGTATAGTAAGATATAGGGGCTAGATACCGCGCAAGCGGGAAGGATACCATCACGTGGGTAAACAGTGGGGGCGAGTGGACGAAAAGTCTGGGGTGGCCAGCACGCCATCACAATGAGCAAGAAATCATTGTTGTAACAATGGGAACAAGAAGCACAAAAGGTGTGTTTAGGTCGGTCTTGTCGCCCGATGTGTCGCACTGCTTCAAGTGGCAGATAGTTGCAATGAAAGGCTGAACGTTCAGGGTTGACAGTTTATATCGAATCGAAACCATGTAAAAGGAGAGCGGAGATTGAAGACCCTTGGAACACTTGAAGAGTGGAGGTGCATCCGATCCGAGGAGAAAATTATTGGTCTCACGACTTACACCCCTTGCGAGTTTCGGGACTTCTACAAAAAATGCATCTAGCTCATCTAATGATCACGAATACTATATATTCTGTCTTTTTCATTC